CACTTACCCAGGCAATTCACCCACTCATAGCACTGCCTTGCAACATACCTCATCCACAAGGTAGCTAGAAAGGATTAGCAGAATAAGAGGTGCTAAAATATTGACAGCCGTCTCCCCTCCATCTTAACTGAAAATGGCAAATAAAATACTGGTTAATCACTAGAAAAGCTATCACTATCAAAGGAGGGAGATTCTGATGAGAGATGAAAGCTATGATTCTATGAAGGAATCAAAGCACTTGTCAGGAGAAACAGTTGTACTTACAAATATTTATTTGCACTATTTCTTTACTACTAAGAACACCTTTCACTCTTCCACTTTTCTTGTTAAAGGATAAACTTAGCTGAAGTATTTAAGCAAAAACAAACAAAAACAGAAAAAATGTCAAAACAAAAAACAATTTCACAAAGGAGTTATAAGATAATATTTAAACTAACTGTAGGTTCATGTGTATGAATTTAAAAAAAAAAAAAAAAAAAATCACCAGATGGTACTCCTATGAATTCATGAAACCTGGTTAGTAAAGTGATATAGTGATATGGCTGTTACAGAACCACATATAAATAAAGCCATTAAATAAATAGAACTTTTGTGGATAATGTGTTAAAGTAATTGAGAGCAACCCAAGCACAAAAAATATCTGAAAACAACATGAAGTTCTACATTTGTAACTAGAATGATATATCGATATCACCTTTAATAAAGACTGTTTCTATGTTAACATTTGGTGAGTAAAAAAAAAATTGCTAATTTTTTATTTTTTTTTTTAGTATGTAAGTAACAAAAACATGAAGTCACAAAAGTAAATTAAGAGTTTAAAGACTATTTTCAAATTATTGTAAATGCAACTTTGTATGTAAATTTCAAGAAATGGGAACATTTCAACATTCTGTAGGAAGACATGAAGGGTGCATTAATCTAGGACTATCTAAGACACAGCACAAGGAACACCAAAATTTGTTTTTGGAGAAATAGCTGAAAATAAAACAGCCCTTATACTAGGGCTACCCCTCTGATTCCTTCTTTTCTCCTTTGGTAATTTAGAATAATTTTATAACTTCAAGGAGACAACTTACTTTTTACAAAAGCAAAACATGATGGTTTAGAAAATGAAAACAGAGAACAGCCAGCTAGAAAATAGGAACTGGTCGGGAGAACTATGTATTAAGCCCATTGAGGCCATTTCCCACATGGCCTTTGGAAAGTTATTTGCATCAGAGAATGAAATGATTTTTGAACAAATAAAGTAAGGTCAGTGATTACTTGATTTTGTAAAGTATTTTGAGGTCCTCAAACACAATTCTACCTAAATGCAGAATATAATTTATTACCATAGATTAAATACAGATGATAAAATTTAATTACAAAGAAGAGAGATCCGAGTCTGCAAAGCATTTTGGTATACATAGAACTCTAACTGTGTATTTGTATTTTTGTTGAATTACAATCATAATCACCTACTGCAAATTAAAGCCAATGTTCTCACATGATTTTTCTCTCCACTGCTCCTGTCATGTGACTCAAAAGATGGTGTCACCTAAATAAAACATTAAAAAAAAAAAAAAAAAAAAGATGTAGTTTGCTAGACCTGAATATGAGGAGGAATGCAAGAATCTCATCCAAAATGAGGAGTCTCAGAATTTCAGTTCAAGCCACTTATTCAGTCGCACTAGACTTATATTTCCTAAGATTATTTTCAGCACTGAAACTTTTCAGAGGCCCAGAGATGGATGGTCTTCTGATCAAAAGCAGAAGACAAGCGATTCACCATCCAGCTAAAACAGCTTAATGATGAGTTATCCCATTCCTCCAAGTTAGATTATGCCTCGTGGTAACAAAAGAGTTAAAATAAAAATCAAAAACAAACAAACAAACAAAAAGTCAAGAAGAGCAGACAACAGCGTCCACAATTCTTTAACCCATTAGTTAGATAGATGCTCTTAGATAGATGGAATTCTGAACTCCAAGCCCTGCCCCAAGAGCTGTTTCATATCTAATACATTTCTGTTTTGATTATATCTCATCTACCTCCATTCCAACACACATTGTGTGAGAAGCAAGGGTGAGTAATCCAATTACTGAGATTGCTACCACTTTGAAGTATGAGAGAATGACCCTAAAGCCCTTTTATGAAGAAAGGACAGAGACAACTACAAAAGGAAAAGAGTTGTATCACTGAATTGTGAATATGTGGTGGAGTACATGGTAAAATGCTTGATCCAATAGGGAATATATTTAAGACACACTTTTCTTCAAACTTCAGTATTTCTTAATTTTTCAGCCTCACCCCAGAAGACTGAAGGAACTATCCATTAGACTACATTACAGTCTGTCACAAAAGCTTTCTTCTTTTCAGGCAATGTAGATTCAACTCCTTCTAAGAAAAAGGGGCTAAGTAAGCCCCTTTCCTTCATTAGGACATTATGGGCATGAAGTAAGAGCACCAAAAAATGATCACGATCCTGCATTAGGAAAGACAGTTAGGACAGTCACATGTATTTCCAAAAGAAAAATCATGCCTGTAAATCCTGACAAGAACCTGGAATCTCATCTTTGTAGGCATTGGATTTGGGCACTGTGGATTTGCAAGAGAAAATGAACCAGATTTGAGGTTCCTCTCTCTCTTGGTGCAGAAAACAAGAAACCTCAGCATCCTCAAATTCATTATGGAATAAGAAACCATTGGCTGCATATCATAACACTGACTCACTAAATAAAACTTTTGCCTTGATCTTTTGCAGTCACATATAATGCTCTGGGAAGAGCCTGTCAAAGGGAAAATACCCCTCCAAAGAAGCCTACTGTATGCCTGTTTTAAGCAGATTGGCTGCTGAACAGCTGAGTAAGAAGAAAGGTCACTTTTGCAAAGATTTCATTATTAGAGAACTACTGAGAGTCTAGCTGCATAAAACATGCTAATGAAATTGTATCCGTTTTTTGTCTCAACTTTACTCTTGAGAAAAAACAGATAGAGCAACATCGCATTCTGCTACTATTCCTTTTGTTAGTTTTTATGCATTTCTATATCAACATTTCTTTTTTGTTATATGACAAGGGACCATAGTAATGCATTAATTCAGTTGGAATTCTTATATTATTTAAATCTAACTTCAGACTTATTACAATCTTTTCTTCTATTGAAAAATCAATTTTCCCTTAAAAGCAAAAGATTTACAACAGTTATTACAATAAGGCACTGTCTGCCTCAGTACACAGGATGATAACATCAGTAATTTAAGTCCACAGTCACATTTCAAATAATAAAAAAAATAATTCAAGGATATAAGAGATGGATATCAGATTGCAATATCACGCTAAAAATTTAATTTCTTAATGTTGATAATTTTAAACACCTGTAGGCATCAAATATTGCTATAATGCAATATTGAATATTTCCACCAGATGTCTCCAATACACTATTTTATACAGAAGGTTACATTTCCATTAAAACATGTTCAAATTGAATGTAGGTTTAGCAAAATACTAAGGATCAAGGATAGAAGACACATATTATTTACTAGGCAGCTGGGGATACTATCCCAGCAGCAAGGTGGGGTGGATTGTTGGCTTACAGAAAACAAAACTGTCCTTTTGTGGTTCCTAACCTATTTTACACAGGTTTACTTAAGTTTCAATTTCACCAAACAGTAGGGGAGCATACTTCTATTCACAGCACACAGAAATGGTCAGATACAAGTCCGTTACAACCCATCCTTTCAAAATTGGCTTTAGAAAGTGTATTTTGAATACTTCCATTTAGCAATAAGACTTCTCTTTTCAGAATAAGAGTCTCAAATAACTTTGAGCATGGTACAGTACAGGTGCTCAACAGCACAGGAAACATTCACCTTTACCTATCAATACTTTCAAGTGAAAGAACACAAAACATAGATGACAAGCCATACACTGATACCTTCAGCCAATTCAGAAACATGGTATGGTATCTTTCTGTTTTTCTCTCTCTCTCTTTCTTTCACTCTCTTTTTAATATCAAAGGGAAAGATCTGAATAAGTTGTGTTTTCCATAATAGCAGAAACAAGAGAATTTCAAGGGTTAATCTCTAAGGCCAATTGTAAACTATTAAGTGTTTTTTGGTAAAACATAATAAATCCCTTATTTCTATTTAATTCCCTTTGAAATAAATTAAGGCCCCATACTCATACCATAGTACAACCCAGCAATTCTTCTTAAATATAGATTTAAGCTTTTCTTTTCAAAATTAACTAATAAATTCAATCATTGTAGCAATAATTCCAGAAATCATGTGTTTATCTAGAACAAGAGTACAAAGCAAAAACATTGTATCTCCAAGCTGGGTGTAAGAAGTTCTCAACTCACTGAACTGATATGGCATCATATAGCAATGCTGACCCGGTATGCAGTGCATAGTCATGGCAGGACACATACATGTTCTCTTTGTGCTGTTTTGTTCTGTTCTGTTTTGGAGGGGGGAAGGGGCAATAGCGGTGGAAACAGGAGTATCATTTCACATTCTCCAATTCTCCAAAGTTTTGTTTTGACTTATACACTAGTAACATGCTATCATAAAACATGGAAAACAAACAAACAAACAAACAAAAAAACAAAACAAAACAAAACAAAACAAAAAAAACATTACCTATAAGCATTTACAAAGACACTTGGACTGCATCTGCCCCAAAAGTAACATTTTCCCTCAATTATAATTTTTCAAGCTCAGCAATAGTTTATAAATATTTATTTTTAGAAAAGCACCTAGTGTGTTTTTCCTCTCTTATTCAGCAGATAGATCAACTTACATTAATTTTTATGAACAACCAGACCACCATAAAAGGGGGGCCACCAACCAGCACCCCAGCCACCCCCCCACACACACAGCAGTAATTAAAATAAGAACTGTTGAACCAAAAGACCTTGTACTGGGCAGTGTGAATAATTTCTTGCAGTTCTTTAAGGGTGACCTGTTTTTATTGCAAATTGCTTTAACTTCTCTCTCTCAGTTAGAAGAACTGTACAGTACCTGTCCAGTATATGCAAAGTCCAGGGCTTGTTTTAAACCTAGGCTTGTGACACCATGTAAATTCACCTCATCAGCTTCACTTTCAACCATGCAGAGACTGAACATTGCCTAGGAAAAGAAAAGAAAAGTTATTAAGAATTAAAAATAACCCCAGTGAAGGTCCAGGAAGAACAGGACTCATTTTTCTATCTTCACTAACTCTTGTATTTCCTTGAAAAAGAATTCTAAATAGCAACTGACTTGTGAGTTAGAGTGAGATCTATCACAAGCTTTCAATACTTCCCCATAGCAATCAATATTGCAAGAGTCCTCTTATCAATAAATAAATACAGAAATTTATTCTGAAAAAAATGAAACAAATCACTTGGGCCCATGAATATATTCTTCCTAAGCAATTTAGGTGAAATCAATGGGAACAGTCACACAATAAAGTATTGTTCAATAAAAATAACAGAAAAATGGACTTAGGAAAAAAAATCCCTACAAACACCACTAACTAAAAATTATTATTATGAATAGTATCATTATATATAGGAAGGACAGTAAACTATACACAATTACTTGTATAGGACAAAGAGGCAATTAAGACATTTAAAAAAAATAAAATAATAATGCTCTCCAAGTACCACCTCGGACTGAAATGTGAACAATAAAATACTGAAGTTATTGAAAGAGGAGTAAAGATATAGTTTTAGGTGACTGCATCTCCAACTTCCCTTTACTTTTTATTCACCCAGTTTCTCAGACCACATTAAACCCATAAACCCTACACTGACAATGAGTACAGTTATATTGGACTTACCTATAAGTAAAGATGAGAAGGGCAGCTGTCCCTTCATCCACTCTTACTTTCCAGGTCATCAGCCTTCAGTGCCTCCCTGCACTGAAGCAACCCTACTCAATCTCTGGATCCCTGTAGGAATCTTTTTCTTCCCATCCCTGTTAAGCTTAAATTCCCATCTTTGCCCCATGTTCTTCCCTGCCAGCCTGCACTCCTTTTGCACTTCCCTAATTATCACTCCTTCCCTCCTCTTGTCACTCCCATTCCCCAGTCCAATGCTCTTCCAGAAATGCAACCTTCACTTCTGCTACTCTCCCACACATTTAACAAGATATACCATTCTCAGTCTTTTGACAGTAAACTGTGAACAAATAAATTAAACAGTTTTACCGTCTGTCATTGCTAGAGTCTAAACTTAGCCCCAGTTTCGTGTAAAGCTGTTAATACTCCTACATAGGCTAGCATACCACCTCGGAGAACTCCACTAAAGAAGCACTTGTTATGAATTATATATGTTCCTCTACTTTTGTGGCTACTCTAGCTGATACCTGCAGAAGCTGAGGCAGCCAGCAAGCAGACTGGATTTCCAGTCTATCCACCAACCACTGCTGAGTTTAAAGTTAAAAATAAGCCCTATCCTCTCCAAGTTTATCACATGGCATTCACATAGACTCAGGAAGCTTCTTTCAAGAACTGAGAGTTTCAGAAGAAATAACTTATTTGCAAGTTAGCCTTTTCATCATTAAAATACCATCATTTGAAATAAATCTGTTGCCTGGAAGTCAGCCAGAATAAGCATGGATGACATTTATCACATGGCCAGTCCTTGTCTTTTTGCAGTTCTCATTGAAATACAGTGATATCAGGGCTCCTTCCAGAAACGTCAGATAGTTGAAAAGGTTTATGACACTAATGTAAGACACAGCCGTGAAACAGACAGATGCATATATGAAATATATATATATATATAACAAGTTCAGATGCTTTTCTAATTCCTTTAAACATGTAATCATGGTTGGACATTTTGCTGTCATTTAGATGTATCAAGTGAATTCTAATAGCTACTGTGAGGCTTCAGGGCTTTCCAGGAGCTGCAAAAAAACCATCAGCCATCTGCTCCTTGTAAAAGCAGACCTCCAGTTTGTGTCTGGAAGAGAGAACTTGAAGCCAAAATGCAGCACCAGTTGAAAACTAGCCACACAACAAACAGGGGCAGAACCCTGCCCTGTGTCCGAGACCCTTAAACAGTTTTTGGGATGCAGTGCCTTCCAGCATATCTGAAAATAATGCTTCATTTGCATTTGTTAATTGCATAGGGACAATACCAACAACCCTCAGTTTCATCTAAAGACATCCTCCACATACTGGACTGCCTCAATGGAAAAATAAAGAAAATACTGATTTACTAATGCTTATCCCCAGGGTTTTGGAAAGAGCTACAGCAAATCAAATATAAATGCGAGTCTACTCTGAATATAGCTACTGGAATCCTTCCTAGTCCTCAAGTTTACAACTGTTCCAGTGTGCCTCTTCCAACTTCCATCTTATTTTTCTTTTTAGATAGTGTAACCTTGTAACTCTTTCCTATTACAAATTTCTCCCTTAAATTAAACCCAGGATGTTGCTCTTTGAACAATAGGTGTTATGTTTATGATCATCAGTAGTGTGCTGTAATGGAGTGGATTTGTAGAACAATTATGTTCCTTCTAAGAACCTGAGTTCATGGCAAATGTTTTTTTTTGTTTGTTTGTTTTTTGTTTTTTTGAGGATTTACATCAGATTAACCATTGTCTGGTACCCAACATCACCTGTACCATGACGGTTTAGTTTCATCCAAGAGTAATTAACAGGGACAACAAAAAGAACTTTACAAGTGAATTTCTGGTCCAGGTTAATATGCTGATATGGATATATCCACAAGCATAGCTTTTCAAGGTCATAACTCCCATTTCCATTGTATTTAAAGGTTCAACTTTAAGATATTAAAAAAAGAAAAAAAACAAAACAAACAAAAAACCAAAAAAACATACACTAAGAGCTCTTCCTGAAGTTCAGTAATTGAGATGTTCATCTGGTTAAGATGTTCTTCCAGTTCACATTTAATTGTATGTTCAAATTTGCACCCACTCTGGATTATTTAACATGCACGTTTAAAGCTGTTGTTGGAGCTACTAATATCACATGCTTGAGTGTTGAAAAAGATATTATCTACAAACACATTCGGTTAAGTGTATGACCTGTGATGTGGCACCAGCTATCCAGAGACTATATGTAATACATTGTCAACATACTCAATAGGTAGTTTTTCCAGATATTTTCTGCTTGGCTTTACTGGGGGTGCTTGGTGAATGTTGTGAGACAGAAATGTTTCTAACACTTAAACTTGTTTTACTTTGAGTAGGGAAATATTTCAGTGGCCGATTGGAAGGGCTGCATATCTGTTTCCTAAATTATCTGTTACAATATGGTAAAATGGAGTAACTACAGAATTTCCTACACTATTAGGCATAAAGAGATTCACTGTTGGGCATAATTACCACAGCATAAATCATGCTCTCACCAAAAAGGATAAACTTCACATAGTAAAGTGACTTTAAATCAGAGTATATGACAACTAGGAGTGCAATGCAAGACTTGAGACAAAAAAAAAAAAAAAAAAACAAACACCAGATAGCTAAAAAAGGAATATTTATTGTCATTTTAGCTACACTAAGCCTTTCATAAGTATTTGTTAAGCACAAGCATGTTACCAGTAGTTTTGTGTTGTGTTACTACTCACAAGTGTCATGGTTAGGAGTTCTGATATTTTTCATTAAAATATGGGTTTTTCCATGAAAATAAATAGAATGTTTTCTAAGCACCACACCAACAAACAATTATTTTCATATAGTCAGATTTATACACTCCATATGCTTTGATGTGTTATAAATGTGTCCTTAAGCTTTTGAATGTACGGTTACAAAGTATATCCTGCCTTGGAGAAATCAGGAAAAGTGTTCAAATTCTTGCGCAACAGTGAATTTACACTAACGTTAATAATGCTGTACCGAACATTTCATGCATCAGCTGTTGCTAATTCTATTAAGTAGCAATTTGACCAGCTAGCACAGAGAAGTGTTGTGGCAGGTCATGTTTTGATTTAATCTGTAAGACTGGAACACAAAAGCAATGGCAACACTACATAGTTTAAAAAAGTTAATGAATGTTAAATAATGTGAAGTACACAAGCTAGATGGGAAGAGCGCTGCTACATGTTTTTTTTGACAGATTGTCTACAACTGGTGGTCAACATACATCTGGACTGGAACCAAAAGAAAAAAAAAATCATTCACATTTATTTTTGCTAAAATATATTCCAAACTTCAGAAATATCTTGAGTATTCTAAAACTCTTTAAAAGCTCTTCTACTAAGAATGCCTTTTGCACTGACGCCATCGGAAGTGAAACAATTGTGTCACTGTATGCATAGGTACTTCCCTCGCTATGAAAACAAACTCGTCATCTCAGATATTCATTACTAAATACACTTTTTTTGGATAATACTCCTTTGTCACACCAACTCCTGAATATAGAGGATAAAGTCTAACAACACAATGTGTCTACACATCTCTTGTGGGGTAGACTTGCACGCCTTCCCTGCACCAAGCTCCCTCATGAAGTGCCTATCAAAAGCCTACAAGTGCTCGGCAATGCAAGACCCTGCATGCTCTGCTTTCTCTGGCTGTACTACAGCAAATACCTGAACATGAGAATCATCTAAAGAGCATGGTAACTAATAAAGTTTCTATTCTGATCAAAGACTGAATGTCTCACAATGGGATAAGCTTTCAGGTACAGAGAAACACTTACATAAATCTCATCTGTAGACAAGGAATCACTTCAGTGATGAACTAATACAGGTTTTCATTGTAGTCTTAGTAGATTTACATTTACAAACTATTCTACAGTACCACAGCAAGTCTAGCACGGTCCTTACACATGGCTTATTACTACGCCTAAAGTAGTAAACTCAAGGGGATGCGGCCATACTGTCAGAGGGACCAAGGTGCAATTGCCCGCCATGCCTCACGAACACAGCCTCCAGTGCGGCTCTGTCCCCTGCCAGCCAGAGCTCTCTGAGGCAATGGCCAGGCCACAGCCCACGGGGTAGCTCAAGCCATGGCTGTTACAAAGGGATAAGACCAAGATGTTTGCAGAGGGGAGAAGGTTTAGTCACAAGGACCTGAGCCACGCTTCACCAGTTGTGTTTACAGACAGAAAACAATCCTTTATCCATCTAATGTACTAGCACAGGCAGTCTGATAGAGCTGAGTGCTATCAGAACTGTAGCTGCCAGTAAGCCACAGGGCTGCAGCTTTATGTGCCATCTGCTACACAGAGCTCATTTTCTCTCACGGCAACCCTCTAAGTATTCTCTGGAAGTTTTTGACATTCAGTATCATTTATTTTTCAGGGAGCAACGCCAAAGCATTTAACTGCAAGATAAGGTCTGCAATGGTCTTCAGACAGTCCACATTTGGCTGAACTGAATTATCCACCAGGAAAGTAGTCTCCTACACAGGAGAACTGAACTCTGCTTGATGATCCTTGGTGTCCTTACCAGCAGGCAAATTTCCTTCTCAGCCTGACAGTTTAAAGGTTTAATCTGGCATGAAAAAAAATCTGCTCAACCATTGGCAGAATTTGAGCTTAGAAACCCAGTCTTTAATTCAGGCTGCTGTACTTGATTGCTATGTTTTTAACTGTAGAAATACATTGGTCATTAAATTCTGGCTTCTCCAATACCTAGAGTATGAGTTATGGTTGGGCTGTCAAACTCAGATTTCAGATATATCTCTGAAAATGCTCTGAAGTTCTCTGCACTTAAATAGATCCATCAGTCCTTCTTTTAATGCAATGCTAGTAGACTACTCTATTTTTCTCTCAGTTACATTAAAAACAAGGCAATAAGAAAAACATCTCAGGTAGTTGTACAAGTGACAGACAAGAAAAATAATGATATATAAAATCATTGGACAAGTGTGTAATTCAAAATCAAACTTACCAGAAAATTTACCAAATTTGGCTAAACATGAAATGTTAATTATTATAAGTTATTCACATAATTCAACAATGCTAATGTTTCATACTTTCCTTTAAAATACCTCTGCTTGGACAAAATAAAACCTTATTTGAAAATGCTTTTTTTCCTCCAAGATGGTCACGAATGTGGGCAGCATCCAAATTGCCAGTATGTCAACTTCAGTTCCCTTTTTTACAACAAAGCCTACTGATTAGAGGACCCATCTTTTCTTCAAGTTCTCTTAAATATACAGGTCTTTCTCTGATATCCAATCAGTCAATGACAGAACATTGTGGAAAATAAAGCGATTGCTTAAATTCTTCTTTCTTTAGTCAAGATTTTAATTAACTAAATGAATTCCCCAAAATAAGAGTGAAGATAATCCTTCTGCCATTCTGTGACAAGTGCTCTAGAACTCAGGGATCAGCATATACCCACCCAGTCACAAATGTTTCCACCTGCGATCACATCTGTTTAAGAAGCTACAAACCCATTTCTGTGAATGAGATGAACCCATTTCTGTGAAGCAGGCAGAAATTAGCTGTAAAAAGAGAAAGAGGGGAGGAAACAACCCTCAGTTCTTCTAATCTAGGCCTGAAACAGAATCCAAGCTAGCGAACTTCTGACAGGAAAATGAAAATGAAAATGAAAATGAAAATGAAAATGAAAATGAAAATGAAGGGCAGAATCCTTGGGTAAAAATAATCAAACCGTATTTGACAAAAGCATCTGACTTTGGAAAATTTAGCTTTGAAGAGGCAAGTTGGTGCGCCTTCAATACACAGCACCTTGCAGTTTCACTGGTTTGCCCTCAGCAGCCAAAGGCACCTTTACAGAGCTGTTTACATAGAACACAAAATAAGACAAGAGTTCAACACTGAATGCAACACAATAACAGGTACAGATGTGATCAGATCTGATGTAACTGGGCAGAACAGCCTGAGTAAATGATGCACAGTTGTTGGGTCTAACTTCCCATGCTCAGCTTTTGCAGCTGCTTAGATTTTAAAAATCTAAAATGCAAGATGGGTGTGAAACACCACCAAATCAGAATTGTAATGTATACTTACTTTAACAGTAATAAATTAGACAAAAAATGCCTAGATCCATTGATTTTTTAATCAGTCATGCAGCTCTGCAACAACAGGTACAGACTCCTTCACAAAATACAACTTCAGAAATACAGAAACATGAAAAGAATATTCAAAATCCCCCAAATAAAAATTGCTCACTGTCAGAAAGAGTGAGGTACAAAATTGCTCCTTGCCTTCGAGTCATTTTCTTACTTACTCAGATGATCCATATCTGTGACAGTAATGAGCTTGTCCCCATTTGTACACATCAATCTTATAGCCTTGGCAGGCTTAGCAAGCAGTACATCGTCACAAAACAACTTAATCATGCCGTACAATATTTTACACAAGTAAACACTTTCAGTGAATTCCATGCATCTCAGCGTCCTTTTAAAGGACAGAAACAGAATTATAAAACATACACAGTCTTAGGAGAGAAGTAAACAAATATAAAAAGAACAAATTGTTATACAGGAAAAGAATGGTGACCAAAACTTTACATGACTTATTACTACTGACTTAGGTAGAGACAAAGTGGAATTCTTGAGCTTTTATAAGCTTTCTGCTGGGAGTTTAATATATACATACATGTATAATTTGAACACTGATACAAGTTCAAATAAATTACAGGAATATATTTGAAAGACATTGAAAACCATTAGGTGCTAATTTAAATCTGCAGAAAACCTGTTTAACATTTAAAAAGTGTTTAAAGGAAAGTAAAAAAGTCATTAAATGAGCAATGATATGCTGCATAAATACTAGATAGAAAGAAAACTGGTAAAATACTGGAAACTTGAGAGAATAGGAGAACAAATTGTCATTGGGGCTTGTAATAATATTATGTAAAGATAGCCAGCTGTATAACAAAATTGAGTGAAAGTGTTTTGTGGATAATCGATAGATAGAAATAGGTATGTTTAGACACCCAGCTACAGGACTTAGTGTGATGAAATATCTTACTATCCTTTTATATTGTGGAGCCCAGAACGACACACAATATTCATGGTGAGGTTATATCAAATATCCTTTCTACTCTGTAACTGTAGAGGAAGCCTGAACACTTAGCTTAGCCTAGATACCTAAAATAGGTGAAAACTTTAATCCTAAGTAATGGGTTGACTGAACTGAGGAATGAAAGTTGAAGAGACAGAAGTTAATTGCTTCCTTTCATTATATTCATCTTTAGAATTTCTTCTGGTTTCTTAAGATGAGTATTTCTGGAATGAAAACTACAAACCATAACAGCAAGGAGAAATGAAAAATGTTTTCACCTTTAAGTGAGTTTCATGTGACAAATTATATGTACATAATTATATATAAAGAACCTGAGTTCTCTTTCACTTACCTGAATTCGTGTAAAGTCATTTCTAGTTCAAAAGCCTTAGGGGTAAGTAGCTCTTTAAAAATAGTTGCAGACTGCCAATTATGACAGGCTGAATCCATACATAATGCCTTCCGTTTCCCTACCTTGACCTTCTTATGCTTATCCCTTGTTTCAGCTACATCAGCCCCAACCAACTTTTGTGATACATTCTAAATGTGAGATGAGCAAATGAACGTCTAAATTGCTGCCTTCGAGAAATACCCTGGCTCTTCCAGGAATAAAGTACACTGTTCCATTGCATAGCGATAACCTCTAAAATATATCAAAGCTCCTTCAGCAAGAATATGAAGTGACTGAAATCTTTATTTTTCTTTGATTCATCTCTAAAATGCAACTTAAAATAAACCCAAGCTTTCAAAATAATAGAGAGTAAACTGAGCTAATCTACAGTAATGCCCCCCCCCAAAAAAGAGCATTTCCATCCTGCATTTTGCTTTTGTTTTTATCAAAACTTTGTTTTGATAACTATCAGCAACCCTAGTTCTATGCTGAAGCTGAAGAAAACTTGGATCCCCCCACTAACACATAGCTCTGAACTGCACAAACTCTCACTCAACCATGGTGTTATCAGTCAGGCAGCAAACACAGTAATCCCGGGATACATCAGAAACATCTGAATTAGAAGCTGCATTCCCATGGTGTTTATAGGGTTTCAGCAACGCCAGGCTTGCTTCACACAGCTCAATACAAGTATCTCCCACTCAGTTTACTGTTATCTTTCATCCTTGACTCTAACTGGCAGTTAGAGCTTTTGCAACTGAAGTACCAGAGCCTGCCTTTACCTTCAGCTGTTGCTCTTGTGTCCAGAAATCTGACGTACGCTCTACTATAAAGGGTATACCCATTTGCTGCACTTCCTCACAATCACAACCAGATAGCGAGAGTGGAAAGTTGGCACAGAGTGAACTAGCATTCTTGTAGTTCCTTTCATTGCAACACACTCAAAAGAGATGAACACAGAGGACGTCAAGATGAACTAGCAACGAGTTAGCCTCTGTGCACATGAGCTTACTCATCTCTTAAGTACAGAGTTCGCTGTTAAAAATAAATAAATTAATAATTCTCCTACTTTCCCTGAAAAATTATCAGCTATATTGTAAGGATTCTGGTCAAAAGTTACAGGGAAAAAAAAATCCTACCATTCTTTGCATAAATTAAACCTTAAGCATGCCATTCCACCCAGCCTCTTTTATTACTGTACTCTACAGCGCTAAGAATCAAAATGAAAAAAGCAGCTTATTTGGTAGTCATAGTACTTCCATAACTAAATTCTTCCACCCAATTCAGAAATACACCTGAAGAAAATAATAAATAAATAAATAAACTAATATGTAGTTGTTAGACCTGGGAAGAAGAAAAAAAAAAAAAAGAAAGAAAATTTTGAAAATGAGTGAGTATCTGTTCTTTCAAGCAAGCTAATTGCCAAAGAGCTATTATGAGTTTCATTGTTGAGGTTACCTATTTATCTTCTTGCACTGAATTTTTAAGGTAAGTAACACCATCGAGTACTGGTTTACTGTTTTAGAAGAGCAGAATTATCATCTCCAATTTCTGCCTCCACAATTCCACAATGATATTGCTTGAGTTCTTAAAATATTTTTAAATAGATAGGCATTTTCAGTAAATGCAGTGCTTTATTCATATTCACTTCCCACAACATATTCATTTACTTCTATGTTCATCTGTTTTACATCTTTTTCTTTTCAGGAAATTGATTGTATTTCTCTGATGCATCATAAAAGCTATTAAGAAAGTAAACTAGCACTTAAGAGATCTTGAATCAATTTTCTACACTGCTCAGGGAACTCAGTTACGATGTGATACCTTGGTATTTTTTATTGCATGTGTAATTTTAAGCCTGTGTAATCTTACCAGCATCAGTGGAACAACTTAGTCTTAAATTCTTCCTGATTTGGTACCTAAACGTATCTTTATATGGGTTGCTCAAATTTGTAAATATCCAGTCCTGAGACTCATCTGTTTGGACTATGAAGTCTGTCAGGCCAAAACTTTCTCCTTTGCAGTTTGTACTAAAAATATCACCTCAATGTTCGCATAACAGTAATGTTAAATAAATAACTTATAATCTATTTAATCCCTTTTGTAGTATTAACCTTTAGTTGTTCTTAACTTCCATGTTCTAATCCTTCATTACATAAGCACTATTATTTCTTCTTTGCTGTTTTTACCTATCATAATAAAAACCCAGACTGAATAAACAATAATCAAGATACTACTTTGATAGATGACAGTTTGCATCAAATATTAACCATCCTGTACATATGTAACATACACTAATCTAAATAATCAATTTAATATGTAAATATTTTATTACTGCATGTGAAAACACAGCTTTTTCTTCTCATAACTAACATGATAATTTTGTTTTGTTTTCCTCCCATTTTAAGCCTGTCTGTCCTAAATCAATCATAAGCCATGTCCTCTGGAGTCTTCTGCACACTGAAAAAATATATCCATCAATACCAACTACATGAAATATGATTAAGAGGCTTACTACATGATTCTTCTGAACAAGTTCTGTATAAACTCTCAGAGAAAATGTCACATAATGTCAATCATTGATAACTGAGCCTGCAGTAATACATCTGCTCAATGAAATCTATCTAAATATTGTTTTTTAAGCATTTGCCACTCAACTAAAATGAATCCTGTAAAATGAAAAGGTCAGCTCTCATTCCCAATTTAAGGGACTATATGATTAAAGAGATTAAAAGAAATACAGGAAAAACTGAACAATATGCAATTTTATGCACAGTACTGAAGGCTCACATCACTGTTATCAAAGCAAATTCCTTTGAACTTTTGCCATTTCTTTCAATACATCAGTGTCAGACTGATACACTGATACACTACACCTAAGAGCATACCAAATAAATCATTTATTTTGTTCACTTGCTGCATTGCACTGTTAATACAGAGATATCGCTTTCCTAGTATCTTTGGAAACAAGTAATAAAAATGGAAGTAAAGAACTGCACTACTGTTTAGAGGAGCTATGGATGTGATTTGTGCATGTTTGTTGGGAGCCACCCAGCAAGAACAAAGTAATTTTCTTAATTGTAACAAGGCACGGGGTCTTTACTCACAGTCAAGATAAACAGTAGAAGCATTTTTTTGCTAACAAGTTAAATTTTTGGTTGAATCTATCTCAAATATAGTACGCACTTTGATGATCATACTTTTAATAATCAGTGTAACATGTATTCTCCAAATTTCTGTTTACATGCATGAGCATAATTTGAGATAGAAGTTAAAAGGACAGATCATAGCTTACTATTCCTGATGAGTTGCTAGTGAGTTCATCACTAAAAAGGCCTATGTTCAAAAGTAGCCTAAATTGTAGAAACAAATTAATTCTACAATTATGTGCAATCCCTCGTCAGAATAATAATAATATAAAAGAATACTACCACAACTACAGTACCCTTAGTTTCACTATTGCAAAAGAAATGAGTCACTATAGGTGATCCTAGATGCCAAAATTACTTTCATTGTGGCAGAAGAAAGAAAACTGAATTGCAAGGACCGTGCCATGCAATGCACTGCAGAAATCTGCAGTAATGTACAGCCTGTCCTAACAATAGTCACCCTTAAATAGGCCTGCCTTCTGGAATATAAAGGGAGCAGCATAACTAAAAACAGCTTTTTTTTTTTTTACAGCATCTCCAGTCAAGCACAGAAAAGTATGAGTCACATTTGCAAATTTTGGCTTAAATTGGTGTAATGCTTCCCAGTGAATGCATAAGCCTATTGTTCCTTTGATGATTTTAGCAAGTGATATCAAAACCAAGCTCAAAATAAAACTGGAATAAAAGTCAGCTCTTGAGCTAGCACTTTACCACAACACACTTCATTCCAGGAGGCAAACCTGCTTGATATTTTTGAGGGGAAAAAAAATATATAAAAAAAAATAAAAAGAGAAAGTGCCAGCACATTTAAGAGGGGCTGCTTTTAAAAGCAAACTCAACATAGCAAGACAAGAAGTTTCTCACCTCACAGTATGTAAGCCATAACTAAATAGTTGTACGGCAAAGTTTCATTTAGCAGAATTGGAATAACATAATCTTAGTTATTACAATTAGCTTCTTAAGAAGTTAGTCATTATGTGACGTAAATGTCATTACACACTAAAATCCAAATGTACCAACCAATAGTAAACTGCAACAATTTTCTCCTATTCTGCAGCTTAACTGCAAAAGCATGCTTGTTATGTGAGAAGCCTAACGCTGCAACTTGAAATGGTCCATTTTATGAAGGTTTGTACCAGATACTTTCACATCCAGCCCATTTTATGAAGGGTTGAACTAGATACAGTTTATATTTTTCAAAAAATTATGTTTTTCCATTATGACTATAAAACTATTTTCCATTATGATCACAGTATAACTTTGCTAAAGTACCACACCTAATACCCACTGATATTTTTATTAAACTATTTGATACAAAACCCAAAGAAGAAAGCCAGCTCAATGACCAATTTTTTTCTTTGGTTTTCCATATCCTTTTACTGAGAAAACCTACAACAGCAATTAAGTATCCCCTACTTGCTAAATAGAAGAAGAATGTCTTGACTAACCAAGTTTTTGCTAATATTACAGTCATTTCTCACAGTAGCTTTCATCTTCAGCTGAGCTCTGCCTCGATCAGCTATTTCTTCTGGAACAAATGCCTCTATAAACTCATCTCTTCATTTTATTTTTAGTAGCCTACATTTGGCTGTTCTCATTTAACCTTCGACTTTTCCTTCATCTCTGACAAACAAAACCCCTCCAAAACCTTAATGATGTCAATTTAATTATCCCCAAAGATTCCACATGCTTTATATCTACTCCTTTTGTGTTGAAATCAAATTCTGGAAAGGCAGGTACCAGGTATGAGAGCTTCTAAAAACACAGACATTTTATAAGTTATCTAAGTATCTAGTAATATTGCTTTCAAATGGGCTTATGTACAGTTGTTGCTTGCTTTTATAGCTGGTACTCTATAAATCTTGGATTCTTATTTCATCCATAGCTGAGAATGCTCTACACAGCTGAAATGGTAAATGGTTTACTAGATTTTGAGTTTTGCACACACATACATACACGTGTAAAATTGTATAAATTTTATACATGTAAAAGCAATAGCTATAGTCTGCTGATGAAGAGAATGTTATGCTGGGCTCTAACCACTATTTTTCTACAAAGTGTTAAAATCCTTTTTGTGAATCCAAAGTTCTTCAAAGGCATTTAAACTGAGCTATGCAACAGAGGAAAGAAAAAGAGAGGTTTTTGCCTTGATAAATGAGTGCCTGAAGATGGGGGAAAAAAATTAATATATATATATATATATATATATATATACACGAATACACAAAAAGAGCTGGCCAGTTTTTACAAGGGAGTGATGATTCCAGTGGAGCACGTCAGTCTTGCATATTTAACATATCCAGAGACAATCTGGAAAAGGGTGAGACCAGTACAGCTACAGCATCCATTGAGCCAAAGCTATTCCAGTTAGTAAGGGCACAATAAAATGTGATAAAGTGTGAAAGTATTCCATGAGATGAGTGATAGGGCTAAAATAATGTAGAGTGATGCACGTGAGGAAAAACATCTTAAATTTGGAAGTGATGCTATCCCACCTGACCATCACAGCTCAAAAAGAGAAGCCTTACAGTATGAGACTTTCTTGAAGGTGTCACTTCAGTGCAATG